GCACCGACCTCATCCCAGCCTCGGGCTTCGGCTGCGCTTTCATTCGTGCCGAGCCTGGTCGTGGTGCAAGGCGCGGCCGATGCAGAGTTGGAGCCCAGTCACCTCGCAAGGCTGCCTCCGGCTGGTCGCGAACTTCGTCCTTGACATCGCCTTGGGCAGCCGGTGGCATCGGGGTTGATGGTCCAGCAAAAGCCTTCCTCCTCTCCGTCACGGACGGGCCGGTAGGCTCTCCCTGCTCAGGGTCGTCCTTCTTGGCGATCCCTCTGGCCTTCGCACGCCCCCGTGCGCCTTCGGGGCTCTTGGACGGGCGCCTCTTCGCAGGAGTCGGTGAAGACGAGGAGTCGGCTTCAGGTCTTGGAGGTGGTCTGCTGCCCTTGCCTGGTTGTGGACCAGGAGGGTCTTTAGGAGGGCCTTCTGGCTGGCCATGATCATGGATGATCTGCCTCATCTGGTCGATGTCGGCAGTACCTTTTATGGCCTGCTTGTACTTGCCATTTTCGTGGCGGTGAATTACCCTCGTGCAAAACCACTTCTGCGCCGAGGAGCTGCAGTACCAGCATGCGCATCCATCAGGGAATGGATTCTCTGAGCCGTCTTCCGCCGCCCATTCTTCATTCAGTTCGGTTCGGTCAGTACCGGCGGCTGATCCGGCAGCAGATGCAACAGCTATCCACTCTTCGTCCGCGGACCCAGCAGCTGGTGCCGCGTCTGCGGGTGACCCCGCTTCTCCGCTGGATTCTGCGGGTGACCCCGCCTCTTCATGGAATCGGCGGTCCCATTCCTCGAGGCGATGGTCATTGGGAAGCTGTTCCCAATTTTCCCTGACAGTGTTAGCAACCTCCTCGGTCATAGGGACGCGATCGGCTTCAGTGATGCGCTTTCCTCCTCCAGGGACCTTCTTGTTAGGATCATGGACGTTGCCGGCGTCATCTCCATGAGACCAATTCCATGGGGTCTCACCGTGATGAGGGCTCCTGGAGGGGCGGTCCATTCGACAGCTGCGCATGTGACCTTTGAAGGGCTCGCATTGACATACTTGTTTCCTGTATGTCTTGCGATCGTTGATGATCTCCTGTTTCTTAGCCCTTTTGTCCCAAGCCTCTGGCGTTTTAGTCTTGCCACCCTTGGTACGTATTATCATGCCAGATTCGTCCCGTTTGGTGCAGTACTCCTTAGAATACCAGTGGCGGATCACGTCCATCGAGTAGCCGGGGTACCAGTTGATGTACCACTCCGGCACGTACTGAGCGGATACACCTACGGAGTGCCCCGTACTGCACGGGTAGCCAGATGCATCATGTGCAGGGCGTCGTGGAGCTGAACGGCCCCTCCTGCGGGCTGGCCCCGCTGACGCACTGCCACGTTCCATGGGCCTTTCATCTTCATGCTCTGAGTCTCGGGGAGGCGATGGTCGTCTGTTCTTCTTGGCATGGCGCATGTCCTCCGAGACCTCTGAGCTGTCCTGGACCATGAATACGTGCTGATGCGGGCTTCGGAAGTACCCGATGTCGTTTAGCTGCTCCATCGTGAGGTCATTGAGGTCCATCTGGTCGCAGCCCTGCATGAATACGTCCATAGACCAAGCGGGTGGCCCCGCTGCTGCGGCTGGCGCCACTTCGGCGGGTGACCCCGCTAGAGCCTGGAGTGCTGTCAGCATCTGAGGTGCCGACATGTCCGAATCCAGGTATGGACGCAGCCTTGCGGCCCCTGGGCGCGACAGCAGGTCGCCCATGGTTATCTGCTGATGTGCTGGCGCACTCAGGAGCTGGATCGCTTCTGCGACCTGCTCTTGGAGCATGTCCTTATGGTCCTCTTCGGCCTCTTCAGAGTCAGAATAAGCGGGATGGCCCCGCATTTCGTCATCAGCGTCTCCCGCTTCCGAGCCAGCTCGCGGAAGATCCGGCAGCAGCGGCATGCCAATCACCTGCGGTGCCAGCGCGGCGGCGAGCTCCTCCTCGGTCGCCGGGACGGTCTCAGCTTCGGAGATCTCGTCGTCGGCGGGTGGCCCCGCTGGAAGACCGGACCAGGCATTGAACGCGACCTCGTTGACTTCGCCCCAGCCGTGGAACTCGTCGAAGAGGGTCACCGCGTACTCTTCCAGGGCTACGGTCACATCAGCGTAGCGGGCCATCACGTAGTACGTGGAGGAACCCGCGGCGGGAGCCGCTTCTGGATTGACGTAAAACTCGTAGTCAATGTAGTCTATGTCATCCATAAAAGAGTTTTGAGCCAAATGTACGGATCCCTTTCCTTTCCCTTTCGGGCATTGATCGCGCAAATGCTCTGTACTACCGCATGTATGACACTTCATAGTATTGCCAGAAGCGTCCCTAGGGTTGCCCCTCCGCCCTTTTCCCTTACCAGAGGTCCGCCTGCGACCCCGACCTTTGCCTCCGATAAGAACTTCTTCAAAAACTATATCAGTTAAGGACGTGAGGAAAGCAGTAATACCCCTACCATGCATACGACGTCTGCGACCCCCTTTGCCACGACCCTTTCCATATCGTTTGAAATGTCGGCGTACTGCACGTCTCACTTTTCTGACTGGTTTCTTCATGAAGCGCCTCCAACGGCGTTTGGATTTGCGATAAGCCATAAAAGCGGCTTCCGCTCTTTGTTGTTCAGAAAGGTGAGTGTCATCAGCTGGATAGTCATTACCAGCAGAGACCATGCCATTGTGCTCATCGTCAGATGAGGTATCTGTGTCAGTGCCAGATTCAAACGGAGAGGGCGGCTGAGACCCTCGAGCGGATGACTCCGCTTGGCCCCAGAGGGTTGTGCCCGAGGGCGGGCTCGCAGTGCAGGCGGCGCCCGGCGTGTAGTTCGACCAGGCGTTCGCCTCAGCTGCCTCTGCCGATGCCTGGCCGGTCTGCCCTAAGAAGGCAGTGGCCTCGTTAGGCATATCGGCTGGATCAGCCCAGGGACTTGGCTCGCCAGGACCAGCGGGTGACCCCGCAGTCGTGGCGTAGACACCTGCGTGTGAGTGGTGCCCTGTGAAGATACCCGCAATATTGCCTGGAGAGCGCTCGGCAACATGCCCGTAGTTCCTCATCCTGGTCAGCAGCCTATCATAGTCTGCTTGTGTTCTGGGCATCTGATGATTAAAGGGCTCCAGCAGGTGTTGGGCTCGTGACGCGCCAACGCCTAACGCTCTGAAAAGGATCAGCGTTAGGATCTGAAAGTTGGGGATGACAAAGCCAACAGAGTTAGCCTCGTCACGGGCCATCTCGAATCGAGCTAACACTGAGTCGATTCGCTCGCCCCTTTCGACGCGAAAGTCGATAAGGGCAGTGCCAGAGTTGAGCTGGCGCTCATCTTCCAGATTTTCAAATTTGGTGCTCAATAGGTACAGTATATAAGTACTGCATCCGTTGGCTGTCCGTTGACAGTTACACCATAGTTGATGATCTGGGAGGGGACCTGCATGGCGATACGACGAGCAAGGCCTTGAAGGCCACGTTGTAGTGCTGCAGCTTGCTGAGGTGGCGTCATATTGCCGCTCGTTACGTTTATCCATGCATGTACTTCGCGAACGTATTCGCGAAAAGGCGTAGTACCGGCTGGGTCCCACGAAGGGCCGGTAGTACGTGTGTCGTCCATCCCCTGCCGCATGCATCCCACAGCACATCCCATTATCACCCATAGAATGCCGAAAATAGTTATCTTAATCCAGTGCATGTGCATCTCGGCTTCGGTGATTGGTTTAGGCTGTGGTTTGTCAGGCTCTGGCGTAGTAGCCGTAAGGCGCCTGACCGGCACAGGATGCAGGTGGCCCCGCTGCGGGTAGCCCCGCAGGGTGACCACGTTCTCGATCGAGTTGCCGATTGGCATCTGGTGGAAGTCGGGAGTGAAGTAGCGCAGTGAAGTAGGAGAGAGCGTCTCGAGCTCGCGGGTCGCCCCGCTAGCTCGATCGCGGACTGGCTCCGCTCCTCGCAGAGCCGGCGCAACATGGTATTCCACCGTAGTAGTAGTCCACCAAGTTGTGCCGTGGATTACAGGAATCAGAGCGAGAGCCAGCCACACGAGAGTGTAGCCAGCTCCGCTACCAAGTCGAAAACGCACTGGTAAGCCATGATATATGTTCCGCCTTAGGCGCTCCCATATCCCAGGCTTTGGCTCATATCGCATGAGCAAGAGAGCAAGACGAAGCATGGGATCTGGAGTAAAGGATAGAAGGGGCATCGTCAATGGAAAAGGTATTTTCCGATCTCAGATACAAGTCGTGCGCCTCAATGAGGCACAATCACATATTAGGCCGGGCCCGGCTTGAGCCAGGCACGGCAGCGGTGCATGCTCGATATACATCCCGCCTTTTAATCTTCTCCGTTTAAAGTGAGACCCCCAAAGACCTCCAAGAGGCTCCCAGGAGTCCCCATAACGGCTGGACTGTAATTACGTGGTCCGGACGCGTATCCCGCGAAGCGAGAGGAGCAAACAAAAATGTCTCCAGAAGAACAAATTGGAAGCCCGAAATGGGTACGGGAAAAATTGGCAAGGTGCCCAACAACAAATGCTTTCCCAAACCGACAGCGGCCGCTGTTGGGCAAGCGTATTCCTATCTTAAATGAGAAACGACCGCACCGACAACAAAATTAACAAGAACTGCTCGTACCCACTCAATCCGTGACCATACCCATGTCGATCGCACCGAGCTGGAGGCCCACACCCCCAACGTCACGATGCCGAAAACAATGGAAAACCGCCCGTCGTGAAAATGTCTTCAGCTGGGATCGACCGTCCCGGCAGTCCTGTAGGCCTACCACGACATGTTCTTGGAACAAAAGAGTGCTCTCAGAACAAAAGCCTCTTATAACTTACATCCAACGCGCTAAAACAAGACAGCCTCGGCCAGAAATGCTCTAAGAACGTTTCGTACAAGCCACCAAAGGCTCTCAGAACATTCTTTGGTGGGCCCATGGGCAGGCCAGGGCGCCTCGCCACTGAGCGCCGTGAACTTTTCATGACCCGAAGGGGGGGTCTGGGAGGCGGACCCGGCTCTCCTCGAGCGCGTGGCCGGCAGCCGTCAGCTCGCGGAAGGCGCCCGGGAGGGCGTCCCCCAGGGGCGGCGGCCAGAGCTCGACCTGCGCACGGGGGCGCTCGAGGAGGCCCCGAGCGCGCAGCGGCCGAAGCGCTGGGACGTTGGTCCTGGACCCTGGAGCCAGGAAGGACGGCGAGGCCCCGACTTACCCCTACGGTAGGTTCGTGAGGCGTCGGAGCGCGCACAGGATTCTGACACCGCGTCCATCGTTCAACCTTGAATCGATCGCGGACCCGACCGTTCCAAATTGAGTTCCGTCGGGTTCCGTGGCGTTACGTTCATCTGTGCTGCCACGTCGCACAAATTAACCTGGAACGCCTTCGCCGGCGTCGTTGGCGCGCCAACGCCGCACGAACCTACCAAAACTGGTGTTCACTGAACCCTGGGAGTTTGCGGAGCGGCCCTGCCCTGTTCGGCTGCTTCCTCGGGTGCGCTTGCGAAGAAGCTTCGCGTGTTTGTGAGGGTGGTTCGTCTGCCTCCCTGGCCCATGTTCGCTCCCCAGAGGATAGCATCGGGTGAGGATGAATCCAGAATCTCTGAGACCCAGCGGCTCTGGAGAATGGCTGGGGGCGCCGCGGCCTTCTCGGAGCGTCCCGGAACGCTCTGAGAGCGTTCCAGGAGAGCTCTGTAGTGGATGTATCCTCGTCCTGGCCCCGCCCGGCGAGCGGGTTGCGGGCGCTCCCCGCCGAAGCACCAGGACATAATACTGGGTTGGGCGGCGCGCAAAGGGGGGCAGGGGGAGGGGGAAGGCTTATTAGGAGGAGGCTGCACCGTAAAGGGCGCCAGCCGTACGTCTACAGACAAGGCCCGCGCCTTCTGAGAAGCATGGGTGCTTCTAAGAAGCCTTCCCCCCTCCCCCTACCCCCTCCGCGCGTGGCTCAAAGGCGTTCACTGAACAGAGTCCTGGGAGTGTGCAGAGAGGTCCTGCCCTGGTCGGCGGCTTCCTTAGGTGCGCTTGCTCAAGGGCCTCGCGTGTTTGTGAGGGTGGTTCTCTCTGGCCCAGTGGACAAAATCGGGTGAGGATAAATCCAGAATGTCTCAGATCCAGCGGCTATGGAGGATGTCTCGGGCACCGCGGCCTTCCCAGAGCGTCCCGGAACGCTCTGGGAAGTTTCGGCCTCTGGGGTCCCTCGCCGCCCCAAGGCGGTCGAGAAACGGCTCGGGATGAAAAACAAATTCTGAGGAATGGGTCGAGACCTCTGGGGGTCGACTTTATGAAAAATCATGACGTCGGGGGTCGCGGTCGGGGGCGTCCAAGAGGGGGCGTCCAAGAGGGAGGTTCGCAATGCATGGCCCGAGGCACGTGCGCGGCCCCGCGGGGGGCAGGTGAAGCATTGACAGAAGGACATGGGGGCCAGGAGATCTGGGAGAAGTCATGGCCCCAGACATACTTTTAACCCCACCTAGTTGAGCAGCGTTAACCGATCCCTATAAAGGGATCCACTGGCTGATTTTCCCTCCCTAGATGGGGGTACAGGCTGTACTCTTCCAACTTCGAATTAGTATATCCGCAACTGGGGGCGTGGGATGCTGGGGGTCGGGATGGGGAGGAGGATGGGGATAGGGATCGGTTACAGTCAACCCACATAGTAAGGATGAGCAACTTTCCAAGGCTAGCCTTGCATCCTTCCCCTTCGGCCCATCCTTGGCCGCTTTCGCTGGCCGCGCCCCGCCCGCAGAGTGTCGACGTGGCCTTCCAGGGCCCTGGCATCCTTCCCGTGCGTCCTTGTTGTCCGGGCTGACTGTAAACGACACTGGTCGGCCATCACACCCCTCTTTGCGAGTCGGGGATTTATCCGTATCCACCGCCTGGGAATCGACGTCCTGGTACCCCAGCGGGCGGTGGATATGGATACATTTCGGCACCTGGGGGCCCGAATGTGTCCACATCCACCGCCTGCCGAGGCACCGAAAACGGAACCTCCAGGCGGTCGTCATGTCAGAGAGCGGGGTGCCCGAACGGCATTACTTCTTCCCCGGGCGTGCGTTGTCAGTTCCGGAGGGTTCGCCTCCAGGATGGACACTGGGGATGGACACACTGGGGATGGGCACTGGGGATGGACACTGAGAGGGACACGGGGGAGGGGCGCCCCTCTCTCTTATCCGCAACTGCGGGGCACTGGGCATCAATTCCCGCCTCGGACTCTTGGCCGCCCGCCCCCGACGGTGCCAACCAGCCTCGTCTTGCTGGGCACGCGCGCAGCACGGGGGCTGCTGGGCGGGCAGGCGCGCACGCTCGCGCGCACTCTTAGTTGTTTGTCCTAAACGGTTGGACCCCGCCCTCCCCAGTCGGCTTGGGTTTCTTCTCTCCCTGCTCCTGCCTCTGCTTGCCCTCCCCTTTTCCTCTCTCCCGCTCAAGCCTTCGGGGCTCAAAGCCCTGGAGCCGACCTCAGGAGGTCTGGGCGCCCGCGGCGCCCGGAAGCGTGCGTGCCATGGCTGCCCGGCGCCCGGCGCTGGCAGGTGCGGCCCGCGGGCTGGCCGCGCTGGTCACCAGCGCAGCCGCCTACGACTGGCGCGGGCCCCTCAGCTCCGCTGTCGCCCGCGCCAGTTGGGGCCACCCGGCTGCGGCCCAGGAGGCCCCGTTCGGGTACACCGTGCCGTACTACGACGACTCCGAGTACGGCATGGAGATCGGCGAGCCCGAGGAGGAGGGTGGGGATGCAGGCAGCCCCCAGGCGCCGCCCGACAGTGGGCCGCCGGGAGCGCCGCCCCCGCCCCCAGCCCAGGCCGCCGGAGGAGTCGACAACGGCAGCGACTCCACCAAGGACCCGGGCAGCGAGGAGTCTTGGGTGGGCGGCTGGGGTGTCTGGGCGCTGGGATTGAAGCCACTGCGTGCGGGCACCTGGGCCTGGCGCCTGAGTGGCATGGGCGGAGTCGCCTACGAGAAGCTCGACAGCCTTGGGAGCGCCTTCTCCACCCATGCCGAGACAGGCTGGCTGACCAAGGATGGTGGGTGGTTCTTCTATGCTCTCGAGAAGCTGGGCCTGACGGTCTTCGGGGCCGCTTGGCCTGCCGTGGCATGGACGTTCATCCCCTTGGCTTTCCTGGCAGTGCTGGCTTTCCTCACTCACATCTGTCGTACCCTACTGGCCCCATGCGCAGCCGCCCTCTGGCTGATCGGTCTACTGGCGCGGTGCACCAAGTGCCGCCGGCGAGAGCCTGGCGATGCAGCTGCCGAAAGGTACCTGCCGCCGGCTCCGCCTGCCCTTACCCAGATCAATTGGATGGGGCCAGAGACCGGACCAGCCACGACCACGGAGTACTACAGCAAGAAGGTGAAGGGTCGTGGGACTGGGAGGCGGCCTAACGACGTGCTGATCAAGATCGACGACCACGTGGCCCGGCTGAAGATCGACCTTTCGGAGCCCAAGCGGATCGACCGGAAGGGCCTCTGGATAGACTACCTGGGCGTGAAGGGGGCCAGCTCACGCGCACTCCGTCAGAAACTGGAGTCGCTCGAGGGCCGTTCCATTCACCTGTGCCGCAACCTGGTTTGTAGAGATCAACCTGGAGAAGTTCATTGTAAAGAGTACGCTGCCTTGGATTCCGAGGCGATCGTGGACATCGGCTCCCACGCCAGGTTCACCTCTTGCCGGGGCGTCTTCCTGCTCTGGCGGACCGTCGCCGACCTGGGGAGGGCCATCTGGAAAGTGATCGTGTTCCTTTACTGCATCCTCTCCTGCGGTTGCTCCTTTTGCTGCCGGCGACGCCGCCGTCGCAAGACAGGCGCTGCGGAGCCAGGCGTTGCAGGGAGCATCGCAGAAGTTTTGGATCAGGAGTCAGAGTCGGAGGTGGAGGCCGAGGACAGGCCATGTGAAGCTGTTCGGGTGGGTATCGTTCTACGCGGCGGCGCTCGCCCCTTGGCACCCGACGGTTGCAGGGGCGCCGCGGAGGCAGAGCCGACCACCCTGCTCTTCGAAGACGGGCAGGCTTCAGACCTCCCGCCACCCAGCGACGGGCGGAATTCGTTCGCCCATCTCTGCGCACATCATGCCCAGGTTTACCGAGCATCTCGGTACCGTGACAAATGTTCGCAGGTGACTTGCTACCGCCAGGCAGTTGGCAACGCAGAGGGCGTACCACTATGTCTTCTTCATCTGGGTGGAGAAGCAGGTCGAGCAGTGCAGGCAGCCGCAGCCGTCCAGGGCCGCGGATTCCTCTCGAGCTTGGGCTTGCGGCGTCGGACGGTTCGCAGTCGCAGCCCACGGGCGCGCGAGCAGGGCGCCCCAGTCAACGCAGCTCCCCCCGCAGACGGGGCACGGGGACCGGAGGGCCATCGCGGACAAGCAGCCCCTGGGCAACACCGACGAGAGGCCTCAGCTTCGCCGCGAGGTCCACCTGTTGGTGTCAGGTTCGAAGCGCCGCCTTCTCCGAGGGTGCCCCTCCCGCGAGACGCCAGCCCCGCCCCCGACGAGGAGACCGAGCAGGGTGACCCTCTCGTACTGCGTGTGCGAGTCCACTGGGCCGCCGGCCCGCAATGGGTTATCTTCTTGGGGAAGTCCCGTCCAGGGGGAGGGCCCACCGGAGATGGCAGCACGACTGTAGTAGACGTGGAGGAGCCGCACTGCAAAGACTACTCGGCGGAAGGCCAGGAGAACGTCTGCTTCACCCTCAAGACCGCGGGGATCGAGTACGCCCCCGTCGCCAGCGACCAGGGAAGGCTCCCCGCAGGCTACCTGGAGGAGCTCTTGTATCACCCACCACTCGGGGCCGAGGAGATGGGGATCGGCGTGCACGGCGTCGTCGTGAGCAGCGCCATGTGGGAGAAGCTGCGCCCTTGGAACGGGGTCCCCGTCGGCGGGAAGACCAAGCGCATCGGCCGCCCTCAGTGGGCTCAGCTTCGGGCCCGCGGGGACTTGCTCGTGCACCGGCATCCAGCAAGCACCTCAGGTGATGCCCCCGGAGTACCGCAGCCCACCTCCGACGAGCTGGACACGCAACTCAAGAAGCATTGGGCGAGGCTTGATCGCAGCAGTTCCCCAAAGCCCCCATTCGGCGTCGGGTGGGGCCTGGGCGAGGAGGGTGATCTGACCTCCTCAGTCC